TCTTTTTTTACAAAGCATTTGATTGTATCCGTTTGCGGTCAAATTAAATCCCACATAATACTAGATTCTTACTTGTTTTCAGTTTCTGAGGTAGTGGCCGAGTGAAACTCTTCTTGACCCGCGTCCTGAATATCTGTAATCCCCATGATGTCAGATGTAAAAATATATCCTTCAACTGTTAACCGAAATGGGGGCGAGATGGCTCAAGTGGTTAGAGCGCGAATCTACTGACCGGAAGGTCCGTGGTTCGAACCCGACCTCTGCCTCTCGACTTCCTCTGTCTACGCTTGGGCAACCTGGCAGTATCCCAGCCCTCATGCTTCCTTCGGGTGGCATGGCAGCTAGGCCTCGAAAGGGTGATACAGCTGGACGATAACCGAAATGTGAATCATCAATTCGCTTGCGAATGGAAAAATGCGTTCACACAGCTGCAAAGGTGGATAGTACTTCCAAGTTGCCCAAGTGAAACTTTGAACTATACTGGGTGGTAGAATGACGAATTCTCTTCGAGGACCGCGACCTCTGGATCGAAATTGTGATCTTCCAGGGAGCATGTCCTCCTCTTCGTCTGGTCCCTTATTGGAAGGAGCTTCTAAAGCTCTTCCTTTTTTCATTGGTCATGGTCGAGGATGAAACTGAATCAGCTGATATCTCGATAATTCCGGTCAGCTCTTTTAAGTGCTGTTGTTTTGAAGGTTTCAGGGAAGAGAAAAAGAGCATCTTCGTTGCTTGCAATGATGCTGGCCGCCTGTAGTGATTTTTTCCCATCGTAGTACGAATCCCCCCAATTTAGGGAACCCGATCGCGATCTGAACACTATGTCAAATTGATGAACGGCGAGCATGTTCCATCGAGGGCTGGTCAGCTTTCCGAGCTCCTGGGCAAACCACCCCAAAGTCAGGGAGACTTTAAAAGAAAATTACTTTTAGTAAATTCTGTTTTCCAAAACACAGGTCACAGTCCTGTGGGTGGGTTGGTTGGTGGGTGGGTGTGCGCACGCAGAACTACACACAGGCAGTTGGTGGATGTAATCTGTGGAAAAGTCTAGTTTTACAGCGCGAGGAATACGTTGTTAGGTGAAAAATGCAGCCGACGCATTCAGACTGTGCAGGACAGGTGAAAAGAAAGTGTGAAGGAAAGCAGTGGAGTGCATGTGGAGCGAACCACTTCATACGGGAATGTGTTGTTGCCATAGCGACGATTGTATCGATTGCAAAAACGAATAGCAATAAGTCATCGGGGAAATACAATTTGAAAATGTAACTAGATTGTCTCCGACTACTGGTGTAGTTGGAATTTTTCTTTACGTAGTTCGAGTCAAACAGGCATATAGATAGGTCTTATATAGAGGAAGGTAAAAATGTACGCTTCAAATGCAAGTGGCCAACTGTACACATGACAGCATCGGAAGTCATCGCCTCCGGGAGGACGACTCTACATGCTTATGACTTATCCGAGGACTGGCGTTGAACTGACTCGCTGGTACTCCGGTTGCCCCCTCCTGTTGGACTCTCTGTTTGTAGTCCGGCCGTTCCGGATGGCCTGGAGAATTGTGAACTCGAGGCTTCTCCGGATCTCGGCGCTTCCTCAGCTGGTTTCCGTCTGTCCTTCTCGCCACTGTGTGCCGCGTGTAGATTTTCGGATTTAGAGATGGCTGAAGCTGGTTGACTGGCTGCCAGGCTCGTGCCGCTATCGCGCGGAAGATAGCGACCACCCACGCCGTAGGTTCGATCCAGTTGGGAGGGTATTGAACCAGTCACTTGAAAGTAGTATGGATCGTAGCGTGACGGCGCTATGGTCGGTTTGTATTGGCCCAGTGGAAATGTTTCCTTCGATAAAATGGAAAAAGTCACTGTGAAACAATGTGAACGAACTCAGGAGGAATGTGTATTTTGTTAGTGAGCCGGGTAGTTTTAGATACTCTGCTTTTATTTGCCACGAGATTGTGTTCGCTTTTTCCAAGTGGACTCATGTCTCCTATCGGAAGTTGTCTCAAGGATGCTGGCGTGTTTTACAATGCGTCATCAAGCGATGAAAATTAGTTAACAGGCACATCAGGTTAGGCCAGTAATAAGGTCTCCACACTAACTCCAGTCGTCATTACTTCCTAGATTCCTAGGACTTTTTGGCCGCCTTCAAACTGCAACATCGAATTCATTGTGTCATTGTCTCGAGGCAACGGAGTCCCATACTACTTGATGTCAAATCCCGGGGAATGTGGGCTTTAGTGCGGCCTCCATTCCGCTTCAACGGTCATTACTACTCACAAGAATCCGACTTCCTCACTGAATGCTACGCCTGAAATGTTAGAAAGCGTGTGTTCAGGTCAAAACATTGAACAAGACACTTGGGGGGCGAGACAACCCAAGTGTTTAGAGCTCGAATTTACTGACCGGAAGGTCCGTGGTTCGAACCCGACCTCTGCCTCTCGACTTCCTCTGTCTAGGCTTGGGCGACGTGGCAGTATCCCAACCCTCGTGCAACCTTCGGGTGGCATGGCACCGGAAGGGTGCTAAAGCTGAATGGTACTGAGTTTCTTGGAATAGATTGGACAAGACACTTATTCATGGACTTTGGTGGCACACGGAAGATCTGTTATAGGACAACTGAAGTGGGGCTTGGAAAGGATTATTCCTTCATTCAGTCAATGAGCAGTGATTATTGATCCTCAAAACTAGGCGTCCAGTGGATTACACACGAGCTTGTTCTTTATGGGTTGGTGTACGGAGGCCAGCCGTCCCTAATAACCGAACGTTTCATCATTTGGACGGATGTGTCACGTGCAGGACACGGACCAAACGAAGGCATGCTCTGATTGGCCAGAATGCCAGCCAATCCGGATCAAGTACCCTTAACTCGACGCTTCTCGCCCCCTCACGGACATTCTGGCACGACCTTGTGGAACACTCTGACAGTCGTATTAATTTTTCCTTATCTCCATAAAGGGCTGTGTGGAGCTGCCACGCCTTTTGATATATCATAGTGGGAGGAGCAGAGAGCCAAGAGACCGATACAGAGTTGCACTACCGTTCAGCAAAACGCAACAGTTTTTTCTCTTTTCATCTCGTTATCTTCCACGCATTCTTGTGTCTGGGCGTACATGTAGCCAACAGAAATCGACACCCGTCATCACACACCGTTTGTGCCAGCCTTTCTGATTAACCCCCCTTCAGGCAGTTATTTGCGCTGTTGAATGTACAGTAGTGATGAGTAAGTCACACATCCTGAAACGGTGATTGTGTTAACAATAGCATTGCTCAGATTCACTGCGATGTTTATTATGGATGAATGATAGACGAGCAAACTCTTCACGAGTGAATGAGCGACTTTAGGTTGTTGAAACCGATCGATCGGTAACTTCGGATCTTCGAGCACGCCGAGGAACGAAACATGGTTCACTTCACATTGGAAGCTATTTCACGATCCCATTTTTGTGTCTCGCACCCAACCAGCGATGGCTGTGTAACGATGAGGAAATCCCATTATCGATGAACAACGAATACTTTTCCAGGTAACTATCCATTTGAATAGTACAATAAGATGTAAAAAAGCTGCGACGTATTAATATAGCGCCAACCACAGATACTAATGCCGAACCACCACAGGTAATAGCCCTTTGCGAGTCACGCTGTTCCACAGATTGGTCACGTGACTGACTTTATCGATAGCTATGGTCACGTAGCATTCTAATGATTCATATTAATGAAACATGGAAAGCGGAAAACCGAAGTGCTGCTCTGTGGAGTCATCTGCGACGGGAGCATCAAATGTGGTGAATCCTGAGGGAGCGCGGGCAGTAACGTGATTCGATAAACCACTAATCCAAGCCCATTCTCGAACCGTCTCTTGCTCAAATTTCTTTCACTGCCAGCCCTCTGTGGTGTTTGTGTCACATTCGAGTTTACTACTAGACAGCGTGTTGGTAGCTCAGGTAACGTAAATGGCCGTTGGCTTGTTCGCTGTGTTTGCGACAACCAGCTCAGCGAACAGAGAAAGGACCACATTAGACTCTTCAGTAATCCACTCTGTAGGATTCCCCATTTTGACGCCCTGTCGAAGTTCATCGTCTTTGACCAGGAGAATCATGGGTATTGTGAGTATTATGGATAGTGATCGATGAAAATAAGAATGAAATCGATCACATGCTCAACCTGTACTCCACACGAAGCAGGCGCCAATTTGGTGGAGCATTGTCAGTTTGTTGTGCCTACTCATAAGTAGTTCCGCGTTTTGTGAAGGACGAAAAGGCAGTTTGGCACTGATGGTTACATAACCTTGTTAGCTGGACGCTCTAAACGGGAAATGTAAATATTTTAGTGCGCGTTTCCGAGGTAGTCCACCCAGTAGAGGACAAGAGATACTCTAACCCATTGTTCCTCACATGAGACCCATCGATAACCTTTCCTGGAGCACATAACGTTCACTCATTTGCATCCACAGCCTTTCGGACACATGTGGGACAAAATGTCCAACGTCTATCGGGCCGCCACTCATGTGAGTGCCCTGAGCTTGATTGCAGGAGATCAGCTGTTTGTTCGCCTCCGAGGATCAACGAAAAAGGGGTGCCGCGACCCGGGATCGAACCGGGGACATTTAGATCTTCAGTCTAACGCTCTCCCTGCTGAGCTATCGCGGCATGATGGTAGGGGTGCGATGTGGATCCTCCAAAAGTAGCAGTATGAACGAAGTATGTTATGTTTAGTATTCACTAAGTAATGCTATTCAGAATCGTATATTCCACCGCCTGCTGGGTGAATTGGAGGGTTTGATCTTTCACTGGTCAGCTAATAACCAGAGTCACATTTGGAATCCATCTGGTTTCACGTTAACTCCATTTAGTAGGTGAATACGCTATCTATTGGAAGCGTTATCGTGACTGGACATCCACTATTTCAAGCACTGCTGAAGCCATATGCAGTTACAGCAACCAGCTGCTTAACGTAACCCCACTCCCCTCCATGAAAACTCCGCGCTATGGGCAGTGGCCGAAGAGTACCTTTTCGTCAACTAAAGTGAAGTCGGCCCACTTCGCTCGCGCATGAATCCGACAAGATTTTTGGACATAAGCACTCAACACACGCGTATGCGTTGCAGTCAGTCACTGCAAGAGTCACACCTAGCCAGATGGTTCCCCCTTTGTATTGAGAGGAGGACCAACCTCAATCAACTCAACCCTTAATAACGCGCGAGGAACAGTTATCTGCCTTGCTCTACTGTTTCTCTCTCTAATTCTACCTGAACCATTGCAGATGCGATGTGATAACCCCTTAGGTAATCCAAGTCAACAGGTGTAAATCTCTTGGATATTTGGTGTTTTTCGCGTCATTTTTCCTTTGAAAAAAAAACATTTTCGCTGCGTTGTTGGAAGCTTTTTGCCTATTGGGGATATCGTGTGGTGAACTTTTCTGAGTCTGCTAACAGAAGTTCCTCCTGGGTGGGATTGCGTGCCGAGAGGATCCTTTCTTAGAAGACCGCTGTGGTGAATTGTAACAGATTCGTCACTCAAGTGCTTCGTCAAACGGTGACGATTCAACCACACTCGCCGTGGTTTACGTTTAAACAACGCCTCCAGTAGTTCGATGTTCAACAGATCCTCAGATTATGAAACAACACGGTCATTTTTTACACCACATTGCTCAAAGGTAAACCGTTTCAGAATAGGCAACTGCCGAGTTCAAGATCATACGTAGCTGAATTGAGCTCAATATGGTGCTGACCATCACCTGTGATTTCGTGCAGTGTGGTTGTTGCTAGGATCATACAGTCATAAAGATTAGTTGTGACAGTGAAAGTTCGTGTTGACCGGAGACTCAGCTGAAATTCACCTGCATCCTGTATTCATCGACCACGTACTTCGAGGTCCTGAATATCATTCCAGTTGAAACATGAAGCACCTTGTTTACAGTGCATTCTTTTCAAAAATATCACAAACAAGATATTTTCACCTGCGAGTTTCGATTTATGAAGGCGTCCCTTTTACAAAATACATACAAATTGGTGTTCAGGTAGAAAACTGGATTGATGGAGATCAGGGAACAGGGTCTGCCTGAAGCGGGAGTCGTCATCAAGGAAACTACTCACAAGTTTGTTGAAAACTCTTCGACAGCCCGCGACTGGTTTCGCCCTTCTCGGGGCTCATTAGGTAGGCGTTGTCATGTTGTCGGATAGGAGTGAGAACTAGTAGGTGCTACAGAAAAGAATGATTTCGACGGTGAATGAACCGACGCCCGCCGTCTATTTTTGCCAGTAAGTGGTCAAAGCATTTGAATCTGTTTGGTGGGAATGATGATGTCTCCCCGATTGGTAATTAAGTGTTTGTCAGCTGTTACCAAGCTCAGCTCAGGAGACGCATCCGAGCTGGGAATATCTTGACAGAGGCCTGATGTTAGTCTACCACAAACATCTCAGGTGCCCATCTCCTCAACTCACAGAGTATTGAGAACCGACATTCTGACTTTCACATTCTACTAGATAGCGTAATGGACAGGCTCTGACCTGTCCCAGCGTAATCGTTAGCCATAAGATCGGTCAGCTGTAGCACCCTTTCGGTGCCTAGCTGCCATGCGACCTGAAGATGGCACGAGGGCTGGGATACTGCCAGGTTACCCAAGCCTACACGGAGGAGGTCGAGAAGCAGAGGTCGGGTTCGAACCACAGACCTTCCGGTCTAACCACTTGGGCCATCTCGCCCAGCCATAAGATCGATCAAACGGTCAATCTGGACCACTAGCATGGTTCGCATCCGGCAATCTTCCAGGACGGCTACACGTTGCTATGCCATGATCCTTGTTGTAAAGACATGTGAAGATATATTTGATTAACTGAACGTAACATAACCAACAGAGAACGAGTGGGACATAAGATAGGAGAATCATTCAGTGAGCGGTAGTCGTGCGTTTACAACCGTTGGCATTGTCTGACTACATTCTGTTTGCGAACAAAAGTCTACATTGCAAGTCGATGATTGTATCTTCATCTGCATCTTTACCAATGCAGGGAACGTGTGTGTGTGTGTGTGTGTGTGTGTGGAAATCTGCTCGCTCTGGGATGATGTTAATCACCGGTGTTCAGAGAAAAGTGAATCGCTGTTAGAACAAATGAGTTTCACCGGATGTGACCCTTTCGTCCTCATTCAGAAATGTGGTGCTCAAATTCATACCCCAGTGAACCACAGTGGTCACCCTGATTAACAATGGTTACCTGATTATCAAACCACGGTTTACCAGTGGTTATTTTTATGACTGAAAACCTCAGAGTTCTACTTCTATAAAGGACGAAGCCATTCGCTTGAAGAAGTTCATGTGTCAGGTGACCGGAAGTCCTTCGAAATTCCGGGGCGGTAGAAACGTCTGGGGATGGCATGATCTAGCCGGCTAGGCGATTCGCTCGAGAGCAATAATCAGACGTGGACGTCTCTCGAACAAAGTGTTAACGCATGCAAGGTTAATGAGGAACCATCATTTGAGATCGGACCGGTGAATTTCCGATTACTAGACCGATGACCCCGCCTAACTACTTGTCTCTCCACAGCAACTGGCTAATTGGGTCTTTGCAGAGAATAAATTTGCTGTTACCTGTAGCAGACTGCCCTCTGTTCGCGAGCGTGGTTCATTCGCTGGATCCAGTTCAGTTGTCGTAGTGGAGCTCAGGTAGAGTAGGTTAGGTTGGCTTGTCAAACCGTATGGCTTTGTAGAGAACATTTGCCGTTTGTGGATTTCCAAAGTGAGTTGTTCCTTGAGCAAAGACACCTGTACGGGTGAGTAGAGTGAAAGCATGATAGAGATGAATGTTTGATGGCAGGATAAGAGGAACATGCCACACACTTTGGGTTGCCACACAAGTTTAGAGACTGTTTTATTGATGAGGACTATCGCAGCCCGAATGACATGTTACATATCTGAAAAATGGTCCAGTTTGCCTCGAAAGCCCCTAAATGTTTACACGGAAAACGTTTGTAGCGTTCTAAATGGTACTGTATATTAATGTGAAAGAGAGTAACTGATACGGTGAACTTTAAAAACGTTTCCGTTTGGAAATTCAATGCTCCTGACTCCTTGATTTGATGGCCGTACCTGGCACAGTAGCTTATTTCAGGTTCAAGGAAATTAAATGAACGTAGTGGAGTAATTGAACGCAAGAAATACAGGCCACAACGCAACACAGATTGGGATCGGACCAATAGCGAATCAGATTTACAAACTATGTGGGGGCAAGCACGAGGGAAGGAACTACCCACCTAACAACTCACTGATGATGTCTCCTCGAATGGTGATGAATCATCTGCAAGCCAGTTGCCAAACTCGGCGAACAGATCAATAACCGCCTGATTGATTACCAAAGAAGTAGGATTATGTGACCGCTTGAAAAACACCTAGGCCAGTGCAAAGCAAAATCTGTTTGAAGGAAATGTATCCCAAATTACTCCCTGGAATGGCAACTTACTAGAGTTGCGTCCTTTCTCTCAGCTGTTTACATCAGTTGCAATTCTAGCGTAGGACCGCTGATGACTTACTGCAGCACGCGCGTTAAGAAATTTAGCCTCATTGCCGAGTGTTTTCATCTCTGGGGTGGCAGCCTTGAGACAGGATGCACTAATCATCTCATCTCCTAACCTAGTACGTCACTCTTGTGTCCATCCAAATTAGAGAATGGCTAACGTAAACCGGTCGTTTGGTCGTTTCCCAAGGGCAGTTGCGAGTTTTCTGTGTTAACATGATCTAACCCGAACTCCAAATTCCATGGCGATATCAAATTCACGAGTAAGTATACGATTCATTGCACCTTTCCCAACCAGCTAACAAACGTACGCTCTCTTGAGCAGAAGCTTTCGTTACTTGCTTTAGTAACATCGGGTCTCCACCCCACTCTTCAACTCCAAACCAGTTCAACTCACCTGTTCTTCCAAACCACGAATTCGATGTCTGTGTGAACGTTCCTTCACTTGCAGGGTTTTCTCGGCTTGTTGCAATGCGAGACGTTGGCGTTCCAACTCAGCCTCCAATTCTGAACGCTGTTTCGAGTTGATCTCGGTCATGCGTAATGCGCGTGTTTCTTCTTGTTGCGCCAACAGAGCCTAGGAATTGAGAAGCAAGATAGAAACATAACTTGACGGACAACATTTGTTAAGCGATCAAGTTCGTGCTGGAGGAGGGCGAGAAGCGTAGAGCTAAAGATGCTGGATCCAGATTGGCTGGCCTCCTGACCAATCAGGGCACGCCTTCATATGGTCCGTAGCCCGCACATGACACATCCGTCTAATAGATGTGATGTTCGGTTAGTAGGGATAGCCGGCCTCCGGACATAGTCGCAGACATTCATATGAATAATCAATAGGGTGACACCATGTCGTCTCTCGTCCTACCGGTCTAAAAGGATTCATCCTCTCATCCGGCAGGAAGACCCTCTAATGTGAACACCTTAGCGCAAAAGTCAAAAAGTAAAGTTACCGTGGCGGAACGGAGGCTGACATGGGAGGTTCTGCAGGGGAAGAATCAGTAGCTTGCTAAAGGAGATGATGTACGGCTAAACGCAGACTCGAAAGCAGGTGTTTGATGATCGTACTGTTTACCATGATCAGGATAACAGTATGTTTGACGGAATTTTAACTCCTAGTCTCATTTGGTTGTGGGAAAAGTTGCAATGAATAGCATTCCTCCAACCTCAAAGTCTATCAAGTAGATGCGTTCGTTCAGAGGGTTATTGACGCACATCTTTCCTGGACATTCACGAGGCCGACTCATATGTGAAGTACCGTGACAAGTCCCTTCGGAAAGCTCAATTTAGTAACAGTGTGGAGTAGGTAGAATGCGATCGATGAGAAACAAAGAAGAGGAAAATCGATAATTCAACTCAACGCCTCCCTCAAATCGTGATTCTTTGAACAGTCCGATGGAAAAGAACTACACCTGTTTCAATTTTGGAATAAGACTGATTGAAATTCGGAGACTAATCCCACCTGATGAACTTCAAGAAGTGCAAAACCCATAGTGGGCTGATTTCATCAACTTCGTGAGTAGTATCAAATAGTAGTGTCAAACTACTGTGCTCCATTCGAATGGTTACTTTTATAAACTGATCCACGAATCTGTAGTCCCGCAGTTGAGAGGCTTTAAACACTTACAAACATGTCAGTCGGTCGCTCTGGTTACTGATGAGCTCCACTACATACCTGCTTAGAACACCTGACTGCTTTCTCCTCAACTAGTGCACACACAATGAGGCGACCAATTAAGTGAGTTTGTCAAAGATTTGACTACCGGTGGACGGTCAAATCACCACATTACAGAACAACATGTATTCACTTTGACAAGCGATTGACACGTACAGCTAGGTGTGTTACCCACCTGCGCTTTCTGTAGATCTCGACGTAGGTCCAAATTCTCATCTTCTAACCGCCGTATGGATTGAATGAGCGCCTTGTTCTCCGACTGAATTTTTCCGGAAATTTCCTCATCTCTGTTGCGTTCACGTTCGACCTGTTGGTTGTACGAAAAACCAATCACCGGGGGGGCATATATACATGAGGAAAAAACTAGGGACTGAGAGTGTTTTAGGGCATAAAAACGGAAGGATCGTCATATTGTTGCTCACAGCTTAAACGTTTGTTGACCATTCCATCAAGATTAAGGAACAGTTCATTGTTGACGGGTCCCAGGTAGGGATGATTCAAGCGCAGTGATCAAGAACATGCACTTCAGTTGCATGTTACACAGCAGGACATCGAACCACAGCCTAGCCGACGATGTGCACTACAAATGAGTTTTAACACGAATGAAATTCATTCTTTCCTTTTGGTGTGGATGAACTGGGGTGATTACATCACCAACATAGACTATGACCTATCCCATTGACCTTCTGGGTTTCATGTCACAGTGTTCCCTCGACTCGCATCAAGAGTAGACTGGGCTGAAGTCACAAGTGGTTCATATCCCTTCTCAAGAACTGTCGACATTAAAATCCGAAAGATGCGACCAGAATCATGAAATCTTCTTAGAAGCCCTGTTAACTCAGACGTTCAGTTTGACCGACAATATCTCATCCTCATTGGCTCGACCAAACTGACTTGCTGGATATCAATATTTCGCAAAATTTGCTTGCCGCCCTCCGTTATCGATGTGGAAAACACGTGCATAAAATTGACTCACCTCTCCCCGTCCCCATCAGCTGATCTGAGCTAATAAACCACAGGATCGATGAAGGTATGTTGTTACTTACTAAGGAGGTAATGATCGGCACTCACTCCTGGAAGAACCCCAGCACACAAACACACGTATCGAAAGAAAAAAATCGAGGGGACAACTTTGGAGGCGTCAAATTTGTTTCAGGAAAAACACAAAAATCGAGGGAACAACTTTGGAGGCGTCAAATTTGTTTCAGCCACCACTGTTTTTCAGAAAAAAAGAGACATTGCTTGGTTCCATTGTTGCTCGGTTCGAACCCACCGGGGAAGTGTCAGTTGAAAATAGCAGAGCTGTAGCATAGGATGGAGTAACGCACAATAACTCAATACTTATAGGACTTACGATAATCATGCTTGTTTTTTGTTGGTATAGAAAGCACATCGTTCTATAACTTGTCGTTTTTTACCCCATCCCGGAACAAGTTTGTTGAAAAGCGTCCTATAAAATAAGAATTTCCCTACCGCACTGCGGAAAGCCCTTAGTGTGGTTCTTATTGATCATTCTCGTTGAGGAAACAGTCTAGAACACTCCGGGAGTGTCTGAACAAAATGGGATGTACCGTGATCAGAAGGTCAAAGTTTTTCAACATATCCGTGTGCAACAAAACCTTAAATGAACTACATTTTCGCTCTAGTGAGGACTTGTATGGAGCACGTTCAGTGAGGCCAGTCACCACACCAATGCTCAATGATTCGACATCAACGCAGCGCACCGCCGATGTGTCAATTACGTCGGCGCAGGCTGTCTTAGTTATGAGGCTCCTCGAAGAGAGATCACCCCGTCGAGAGTTCAGAAGTACCAATTTCCAGCCATCGCTTCAGTGGTGTGAACTACCTGCCGAGAAGAAGCCAGGAGGAGATCGAGTATTCCCTTACTCCTCAGTGCTATATCTTGGTGGGGACTTACACACAGAAGTGGAAGTGGGCAAGTGCTTCGAACTTCCCCCCTCCTCTTCATATCTTATACTCTGATTGGTGGAAAAATAGTTCCTATAAATGAGATGGATTTTCATATCGATGAGCTCCGCGCTTGTCGACACCTTACCCAATACAATCTACGAAGTTCCGGTGATCAGTCACAAGAGAGGCTACTTGAATCAACATTGCATTTCGGCCGTAAGGCCGCATACGTCTCCAAGAACTGCTCAGTTTATCCCAAGGTGTTGGAGATGAACCAGCGGTTTGTTTGACTCACTCGATCAACCGTCTTTTTCCATTGATTTCGCTCTTTCCGCAGTCTATTCAGTTCGCACTCAACCTCGTGTTTCTCCAAGCCGAGATTGTTTAAGCTCCGCTGAAGTTCGGTGTTCTGCTCCGAGACTTTTGTGTGCTCACCTAAAACGAGTGAAAAAACGGGTTGAACATCACCGGAAATTCTCACACAACAACAGCATGAGTTATTATTTCCGTGGGTTGTTAGAAGACAAGACACATCTGCACCACTTCCACAGATTGTGTCCTCTGAATATCGCGTTACGCTCCGAAAGGACTGATTTGGTTCATCCACCAATCGCCTGGCCAGTGTGAACGTGGTACTTGTTAATGATTGGACGAATCGCGCAGAGCAGATCAGTGTCCCCTTCACCTGATTGGTTGGATTTTCTGTTGATTTGTACGGTCAGCTCTGGGGCACGGGACTTCGCCGACCGGCGCCCTCTGGCTGTATCTTAGAGGCGTTACGGTCAGCAACCAGTGACATAGCAGTAGAAGTTGACGAAACCCAATCGAATGAAACCTAAACTGGACGTTCAAGCCAACCTTTCCTACGGTAGACGGTCATTATCAGCTTCATTAGTTATGACCGGTAAAACTTCGTAAGGAAACTACACCACAGTTCGAAAATGCAAAGGTCAACGGTTGTCTCATTCAACCAATTTTGTTCTTAAAAGATTCACCAATGTGAACTCAGTATGAAGGGAGTGTTCTCACCTGATACCACTTCGAACCATCGCTCAACTGTTGCCAAACCAACTTGGACCAAGCTCTGTATCTTTGTACACGGAATATCACACCGACTGACCATCGTCTAAGTGACGACTGACATGATCGGGTAGAGATGAAGGTGGCGTCTCGCAATACAATGCACGCTGGCGGGGAGAATGCCGTTCAGCTGAGACACCTGAGTTATTGACGAAGATGCCATGGTGCTCTGGAACTGAAGTTGTTCGACGGCATTCTGGAAAATGGGCGCTCTTTCATCACTCAAAAACTTTCTTCCTTTGCCAGAAAAATCGAATACAGATTCAGAGGACTCGAAGTTCGCAATCAAGCGTGTAATGGCCAACACGGTCAAAGGATCTTTGATGAGACCATGTTTGGTGCAGCGGTGGCGCTTTCACCAAGGGAATTAGAGAGTTTCACAATTTCAATGCGCGCACTGACATCCATCGTAAATAAAAAAGAATGTCAACACTTGCATGCACAACCTCCTTTATGTGGCTAACAAAAAATTTCGTTATCTTTCCGTTGACTGGCTAAGTTTCTTCAC